GTGCGATACGATACTTATTTCTCATTATAATGCAGATCACATGACATGGTAAATATTGATAATTCATAAAATTTGCTTTACTTTAGAGTTATGATTACTGTATACTAAAATTTGCAGTGAATTTTTTTTTTATTAGGAAAAAAAGCAGTTTTTAGGCGATTAATATCGGTTGAAAAACATCTAAAAAGTTTGTTATACGTATCTGATCTTTTGATCTACGTATAAAAATTTCTTTCTTGGTTTGTATCGCAAGAAATAAGGGCGTGCGCGTATCGTCAAAAAAATTTTATCATAATTATAATAAATATAAGAATTTTTTTTATATTGTTATAAAAGGTACAATTATGTGGTGGATGATTGAACAATTGCTGAAACCGAATTTTTACAAATTCTAATATTTATACTATATAAAGTAACTAATAAAGACCATTAATTACTGTATCAAAGGTAGGGTTCTGAATCGGCGGCACGTATTTCTGATGGCTGTAAAAATAGGGAACCAATTTTACTGTACCGTTTTTCGATATTTACACTGGTCGACACAATTTTATGAAGCGAAAAAAAAGTAAAAAAGCAATAAATACAATAATAAATGTCAAACCCGCCTTGGAGCCTAATAAAAAATGTCAGGAGAGCAATTTTACCTATAACTCTTGCCAAATCCCTAACACTGATCCCAATTCTAACCATAATTTTAGTTACTTCGCTTTAAATATAAGGAAATTAAAAACGGTGTGGTAAAATAGATCCTACAGTTGGTACATAAACTGAAATCAGTATGGATAATTAGCATGATTAACCACTTTTTGCAGATGGGCTCCATTTGTATCTCACATGTGCCAGCTACCAGTAGCAGGTTTTTAAAGTCAGGTGGATTGGGCTCAGGCCCAACCCGTGGGCCGATTCTAAAAACCTGCTACTGGCGGCAGGCACATATGAGATACAAATGGAACCCGTCTTCCGAAAGTGGTTTATCATGCTAATTATACATACTGATTTCAGTTTATATGCCAAATGTGGAGCACTATTTTACAGCCCTCGAAGTTCCAAAATCATACAGACCGCCGATTCCGAACCCTAATCAGATGTTTGAGGTGAAAGAAAAGGAAAAACTAGCAAATTGTTTGAAGTTATATTGAACGAAAGAGAGAATTAAAATTTTATTTTATTTACATACTGTATATCTCTACACTATCGATATTAATATCAGTGCAGTTGAATTTGTCATATGACATATCCCAGTCGGTATAAATTAAAATTGAATTTGATTATCTGTTATGTGCAGTACATAAATCACTGGATATATAGCTAGTTTTGTAAACTCAAAAAAATTTCTACTACATTTTAATAAAAAATATATCTATAAAACTATGTCATTTCAATTAAATCATTTGTTTTTCAATTGAAACATTGATCCTCGATTACTATGCCAAGACTATAATCACTAACTTTACTAGTAATAATTAATTAAATTTAGCTTTGTCTACTAATACTGTAATAAAGTCAATACGTCAAACATCATTAAAATACTGTCTAATCCTTGAATTCCAACTTGTAACCTGAGGTTGTTGATAAGGTGTTGTAACGGTATTCTGATAAGGTGTCGTAGTAACCTGAGGTTGTTGATAAGCAGTTGTAACAGCACTAGTGATACGGGTCGATGAAAAAATCTCGGGCCGGGGTCGATCCTAAAAAAGCTTGGGCCGGTCGATCGGGCTGACCTTTTTGCTACTGCAATTTTTCTGATCAGAATCAATCTTACATCTATATCAAGCGTGTAAAAAGTCATCAGATAGTTCATTGTCAAAGTCTAGTGATATTAAATTAAGTATTTGCACGATAAAACTAGATGCGCTTTGAGTTAGTTTGCTTTAAATATTTTGATTTTTAGAGACCTGTAAAGTAGTGTAATTATATTTGAAATTAGCATGTGATGTATTTATTTATTTTTGAATTAATGAGAATTCTGATTTAAAACTTTTCCGACATATTTATTCACTAATACCCCAACCACTACATCAAAATCACAGAGAATACCTTGTTTCGTATGTATGCTTCGTCTTCGCTAATACACAGCAGCAAGAATATCTTTATTCCCAATACACTCTGTCTCACTACGTTTATCACATACTACGTACTTGGTATTTCACTATATTCCTGGTAGTTTCAAATTAATAAAGTTCAAATTTTGGATGCGGATCGGCTATTTTTAAGAGCTTGAGCTTGACTTTACTGTTCTTTACATTGTCTAGATTATGATATATAACCATTTTTTTAGTCATTATTCTAAATAATAAAAAAAGACTAAAATCGCCATGTTGGATCATAATTAGATGTGTACAAAGGATATAGCGTGATATCTCTACCCGTAACATAAAAATCTGCCAGTATGATTATGCCACTCTAGATATACTCTGTTATGCAAACATAACTACATTGCTAATTACTTACATTGTTATAAACGACTAGCTAACTTTTAGTCGGTTTCTTAACCTGAAATATGATTTAGAAGAAAATTAAACTATTACTTTTTTTATCAGCCGGCCCGGCCCACAAAGATGCGGGCTAAGGGTCGACCCGCCCATCGACCCGGCCGTTGGGCCGGGGTCAGCCCGTATCACTAGTAGGGATGTTGTCCTACTTGTCCAATCTCGGTTCAGGCCTGGAAACCCAACATGTTAAACTCGAGGTTTGTGATCATGTGATTTGATTAAAAACTTTTAAACTCAGTACTTGCTTATAGTGCTCAAATCGAGTTCAAAGTCGATTTCTTAAGCAAAATGTTTCATTATTTATAACTTTGACAATTAAAAGTTTAATTTTTATGACGCAAATGATGTAAATGAGTTTTCTATGCTTTTTTTTTTTTTAAAAAAAAAGATAAAATTTCTTATCCTCACACCAATTTCAACATTATCTCAACAGACGATTGAACTGGAAGTACTAACAGACACAGCAAACTGCCTTTCAAAGCAATTTAATATTGATCCCTTCTGGGATGAACTTACCAAACGTGGGACAAACAACGATGCAAATATTGCAACAAAGTCTATTCAGTGGGTACAAGTCTGTCGACAAAAAAGTTGTACTTTAGACAGTCGGGTAAAATGCTTCTAATAAATTAAATAGATTATTACAGATTAACAAGCTTTTCTCTTGTTAAAATAAAGATTTTCAACTATTCAATAACAAACAACTCAAAGATAATAAACTAATCATTTCTGCATTTGACTTCACAAAACAATAATATATGTTCAGTCAAACCTCTCTATAATCACACATTTGGGATACGAAAATGTGCGATTGTAGAGAAGTGTGACAGTTATAGAGGTCAAATTTATTATATTCAATAATAGTTCGTTTTTTAAAAAATATGCTCATAAAGAAAATGTGCTTATATAGGAGGTGACTATAGAGAGGTCAGTCTGTATTCTATTGTAAGTATTTTAGTATTTATAGGAATTATGCTGATTTTGTATAAATTAAAACAAAAAAATTATTCTGCGTATGTATTAGTTTCGAAACAGAGTTTGAAGTGGTTTCAAAGCACAAGCTAGCAGATTTAAGTAAGATAACATCCCTATAATAAAGCAAAGGTAAAAAAGTGCAAATGCAGTTTAAGATTGAAGATAGACGTTTTTTTTTTTTGCTTTACATGGATGTATGTAATTAATTAAAGCTTCATATTTATAGCATCAATAAGAGACGTAAGTCATTCGTTGATAGTGGAAATTCAAAAATGACACATTACGATTCCGAATTGACAAGAATCAATAAATGACGCATGTGCCGCGATGTTGCATACTACATAATGCGATGCAAGTTGCTTAAAATTTAAAAATGTACATAGAAATTTTTATGTAATTCTGATTTATATCATTTCATCAACAATCACTTTATAGATACTTAATTCTATCAAACAATAGCCTGTAATAAAATATTAATCTATCAAGTCTGTTTTTACTATATAAATCTAACAGATTGTTATGTTTTATATCCGATAATCTCTCAATAATAATACAAAATCTGCTTACCATGCATATCGGTTTTAAGAGGTTCAACAGTATTGTTAAACCTCCCAAAACTGATTCAGTCAAAACCAATAGCCTGTGAAATTCAATAATAATACAAAATCTGCTTACCCTACATATCGGTTTTAAGAGGTTCAACAGTATTGTTAAACCTCCCAAAACTGATTCAGTCAAAACCAATAGCCGGGTACAATTTAGGTTTACAGCAGGGACGATGATTTACTGCGATTACAGAAAACAGCATAATTCTCCTTAAAAACAGCTAACACGGAAATCACTCTTAGTTACCGCAGAGTGTCACAGAATTCGCATAAATTCAGGTTGGCACCACCGGAAGGTCGCGGAAAGGTAGACAATACATCAACACAAATTACGAACACGCTTGTCGGGGTCGGGGAGTTACGGATTTAAGATTTGGAAAATTTTTAAGATTAAGTTGCATAAATTATAAAATGGTATCACAGAATTTCATAGAAATTGGTAAATTTTAAAAATTTACCACATTAAATCACAGAATTTGTCTTAATCACACACAGAATTTAGTCTTTAGTCTTAAGCAAAACAGAAAATCATCATCCCTATTTCACAGGAAAAGAAAAACTCCAAATCCTAGGCACATGTTACAAGAATATAGAATGTAGCTTCTTTGCAGAAAGTTTTAATGTATAGTAATTGATAAAATATGATATTTGTGCAGTAACTATTTATATTTTACCATAAAAATTTTTACTAGAGGCTATTTTACAAGATGGATATTATACTTAATAGGGAATTTATGAGTTCACAAAAACATTATCTTTTTTAATGTATTTATTAATATTAAAAAGGTTGGAAATTTAAATAAAAATAAAATTTCATTCATTCTTTATGTTAATGATTAAATTCAAGTGAACTTTGAAAAATTGGTCAACCATTATTAGAGGTTCTTATCTAATATATTTAAGCTATTTTACAGAAGTCATCGTTATTTCAAATCTGTGGATTAGACCTATTATATTTAATTTTCTCCCAAAAGTTATCACTACATTCTTTTAGAATCTCCTTTGTTTTTGCAGGCACAGTGAACGGATAAAAAGCATAAGCAGAATTGGGTGAATAACAATTAAGAAGATTTTTTAGAAGGAGTTGATGTAAAACACCACCTCTAACTAATTGTTCATCAGGTACTTCAAGATTTTTCTAGTTCCAATATGCTATATTATGCTGGTTTAAGTCATCAGTGAAAAATTGATCATTTTCTATGAGATTAACTACGTCTGATAAAATGCCATAGCTAATTGTAAAAGGAAAAGCAAGTGCTAAACTGATTGTATTAAAAGGTTTGGTCTTTTCTGTCATGAGACCAGGGTATAATTCAACACATTTATATCACTATAAAGGGTTTTGAGTTTTGCTGCTACTTCTTTATCAGCTGTCATATCCTCAAATGAAGTATAAGGCACCAAATTAAGTGACTTGCGGAGGTCGTTAAGACTGGCCACACCCAAAGATCTGGCTGATTCAATACCAATAATCTCAACAATCATAAAGATGAAGAAGTATTATTCACACCAAAAGCACCTATCCAATGTAACTAATTGTTAGTCTTCATTTATAAATAATAAATTTTTAATGATTATATTATATTATTTTACTAGCAACTTTTTCTGTTCCCTTTATAAGCTCTTCAGCAATATCATTATCTTTAAATTTGCCATCTTTATCTTGTTTTATATGATTAAATGTCTATTTAGATAGATCTTTGGGTAGACCACTAGACCATTCTTTTAATTTCTTAATAAATTTTTTAAAGTCAATCTATTTTAAATGACCACTAAACTATTCTTTAAATTTTTTAATAAATATTTTAAACTCAACCTATTTTAAATACTAGCCTTATAAATATATTTGATTATTCTACCATGAAAGGAGTAATTATATGAATCGAAATGTTTATATTATCTGGATTATCAGTTTCCAAAATATATTTAAACTTTTTGTCAATCCATTTCTCATCAGCTTCTACTATAGTTGGATGCTATCGATAGATAAAATTAAACTCCAAAGAGACTTGATTACCAATTTCTGCAGGTAAAAGCCCAAATAAAGGATTACTATTAGTATAAGGCTTTAGTGGATCAAGATACCAGGGTGACATAGTCTGGTCAAGACCAAGGATAGCTCTAAGGTAGTCATGAAGAATGATTTTTAGATAATAACCACAATTAATTAATTGGGCAGTTTGAAAGAGATGTTTATTATCTTTGAATTTGCCCATTTCATAAAGATAATTTGCAATATAGCTATGATTTCATGAAAAAACTACCAACAAGGCACCTACACCAGATGGTTGAGTCAATATTCTTGAGTCTGCAAATATATCTGTTTTAAGCGATCTAAGAAACTAGTACAAACTTTTACCAGATCTTTATAACTACTTCTATACAATGAAGAAAGATCAAGATAAGAAGAATTTTGATTGATTGAATAATTTTGAGGATCAGAATTGAATAAATCATGTGTAATTATTATGGCAAGATAGAATAATGTTGTGCTGATACCCGAAGGATGAGGGTGAATTTATTACGCTTCATAAGATCATCAAAGATCCTACCCAAATCAGAAAGTTGATTAAAAGGTGCTTGAATAGTAACTGAACATGCATATTAGAAACCAGCCTTTTCTAGTTGTAAAAAATTTCTGTATCTGCTATAATCAGAACTGTCACTGCTACGATAACTATAATCTGCCAACATGTGTAGTGGTTTTTGAATATCATTCCACAGTTGTTGATTAAGTCTCTCTAAAATGTCGATGATTTCTGGATGAGTTGAAGATTTCTCAGACATGAGTTTAAATAAACTTTCTATCTATAAACCATAATTTAGTTATTAATTATTATCAGTTACCTACGTTAAAATTATTTATTTGAAAAAAAAACAATGCAGGCTCACTATGAGTATTGAATCATCTATAGGTTCTTGAAAAATGGAAGTATGAATTAATTCATGAACCAACTTTAATTCTTCTTCTGAATTCTCAAAATGCTTGTAAATTTCATTTTTTAGGTCTTTAAATGCTAAAGAAAGAGAGATTATTAAAGAAACCTTTTTTGATATCATCATATTTTAAAATAAAAGTGTTGTAATGATTTATCTTAATTTATCTGGTATTTATATACATATGTACATGCTTAAAAAATCTGGTTACTTGTTATTTTTGAGATACATATCAAAACAACCTTACATTTTCATATAAGGTATATACAGTGCTTGATTAAGAATGATATCAACAATAGTAACAAAAGGTATATGGCCACATCACCTACTTTTTTACAATTCTAATTAGTCAAAATAAGGTTAAGCCAATAATTATAACAGTTTTGGGATAAAATTTACAAAATATTATTATTATGCAGGGTTCTGCCAGGATTATTTAACTATATTAATACTATGCATAATTCAATCAATAACTCAAATGTTGCACATTTGTTGGTCTTGAAATTGTTTATTAGCTTTTTTAAATTTTAACTAGAGTATAGGTGCTATCTAGTAAAGTTTTTGTAGCTTTGTTAAAGATTGTAGTAAGTAGAGATATATGGAGTAAAGTCAATAGAAAAAGAACAAATTATTTTTAGTACAATTTTTTTAATTTTTAAATTAAAATATCTTAAAAACTAATTAATCAAATTTGCTAAATTTGTTTTTATTTTAATTCTGGAATTATATAAAATTAAAATAAAAAAAAATTATAAAATTTAATAAGTTAATTGCTAAAATATTTAAGGGTAGAGGGTATGTATATATAGATCATTTTGTTATATAATTTTAGAGTTAATCTTTAGTATAGGTAGACAATATAGAAATAATATAAATTATAATATAATTTAAGCAAATTTGGAATTAGTTAGGATTAGGTAAGAATTATTATATAATTTATAGTTAGATTAGGGTTAGGGTTATAGTTTTTTTATATTATAATTTTATAATATTTCTATATTGCCCACCTATACTAAAGAAGATCCAATTTTGGTACATTAAGATTTATATAGAAATTTATAACGTACTACTAATAAAACTTTTTATTGTTGTAATTAATTTTAGCCAAAATCTTACAAAATATAAATAAAATAATTTATCTATTATAGTAAAATTTTGAACTATTATATTATTTAAAAAAAATATACTTGTATATATCTTGAATTTTTTCTGAGTTAGCTCAAAATTTTCTGGGTTATGCAGATTGCTTATATATATAGATTTAATTTCATATTAAGTAATTTTTTAATACTGTATTTACTTCTGATTCTTTTAAACAAGTTATTAGAAAAAATAAATAAAGAGTTTTCAATTTATATTATTATATTTTTTTTTTGAGTATTAAGGTGACTTCTTAAATTAGTAAGTTTTTATTATATAAGTATAAGTATTATACATTATAACAAAAGTACATCAAGTTATACCTGCACTTTTGGTATCTAATTTAAGTAGTTTGCCTGAAGGTTTTATACTATCTGCCATACTTGCAAACTAACTATAGAATTATCTATTTAAACTTTTTGATTATAATATACTATTTATTGTACTTAGCATAGATATAACTCACTATACTATATATAGATTTTGCAACACTACTACATTTTCTGGCAATTCTAGAACTAATTTATCTTTAAAATAAACCTAACAGAGCAGTACATATTTTACACATGTATTCATCTGCATGTTTGATAATTTCTTCCTAACTTGTACTTGTTATACTACTGTTGCTGGATTTATCTCTTAAACTCCCTTTAGAATACTGCTATAATCTAATCCATATCTCAAATCACAACCTTTCTAGTTAGTTTTTAGTTATTTACTTCTTGCTCTTATAGGGTTTACACAACCCTTTACTTACATTTGGATTTTTTTTTTTTTAGATTTTTTACTGGTTCTTCTTTATTTTTAGCTAGCAACCTAGAAGGGTTAGTCTGCCCAGGCTTTAGGTACTTTATAGTTACCCTCTTCTTGGTACATGCTTTTGGAGCACATGTCTTTTTTTTCTAGTTGACAATCTGGTAGTTCAGCTAGTGTGTTCCCCACTTAAGGACCTAGTCGCTCATTCTCTAGTCTTGTCTCTAGTTTTAAATTTAGTCTTTCTGTAATACCATCAAAAATTATATTATCTCTTAACTCAAAACTTACTAAATGAGTTTTCAGTTCCTTGAATTTATTGTGCCAAAACTTCTATTCATTATAGTATCACCAAGATAACATATTAGAATCTAACTAATTAGTGATAGCCATTAACCAAATCACAAGTTTATTTTTTGAAAATGTTATCTGTAGAATTCAAACTCTAGAACTGCTATCTAGAAATGCGACAACTCTACTACTTCACTAAGTTGCCACACCCTCTATATTACTTTTTTCATAAAATATATTGGTATAATTATAAATAATTCATCACTAGCTAATACTAGATTTAGTTTCAGATATCTTACTGAACACAGTAAAATTGCTAATAAATTGAGTTATTACTAAAAATGTTTGTAATAACATAGGCTAATTGTTATTAAATATTCCTAATCTATTCGTAAGTGAGCAACACTCTCTCTTAATTTACTATTGCATTTATCTTCTCTAATATATGTATAAGAATTTCTCTAATTTACTATTTAATTAAATTTTACAAGACTTTTCTTGTAAATTTTAGTTAATTTTAGGTGCTATTATTGTTATAGATTTTAGCAAACTACTGTATATTTATTGAACTTTACTAGATTACTATATATTTATTAATCTTTAGTGTTAGTTTTTACTTGCTTTGCTAATATACAATGACCGGATATAATATAAGATACTACACACTACCAATAATGTATTTACACAGATAACTTTAAATATTCAATTATTTATATATATATGCATACTGATTATGTCATTTGCAATTTATATATAAGAAATAGTTGATAAATAATAATAATTAAATACATTATGGTCTTTCTCTCTATATATATAAGGAATAGTTGATAAATAATAATAATTAAATATATTATGGTCTCTCTCTCTCTCTCTCCCCCTCTCCCTCTCTCTCTCCCTCCCTCCCCCTATTCAAATTACATTTAATAGTTTTATTATTATTTTAATACTATAATTGATCTATTATAATATTAGTATTATTTGATTCTAATTTAAAACCAATATCATTATATCGAATATCTAAATATTTCAGCATAGAGTTCTTGCTAAGTGCATGAGCTAATGCTTTTCCACCTTCGGATCCAAGATTATTATAGCCGATTCCTAAAGTTGTTAAGGAGGAGTTCTTGCAAAGCGCATCAGCTAATGCTTTTCCAACTTCGAATCCAAGATTATTATGACCAAGATTTAACGTTGTTAAGGAGGAGTTCTTGCGAAGTGCATCAGCTAATGCTTTTCCACCTTCGGATCCAAGATTATTATCATAGAGATCTAACGTTGTTAAGGAGGAGTTCGTGCAAAGTGCATCAGCTAATGCTTTTCCTCCTTCGGACCCAAGATTATTACCACCAAGATATAACGTTGTTAAGGATGTGTTCTCGCAAAGTGCATCAGCTAATGCTTTTCCACCTTCGGATCCAAGTTCATTACTATTGAGATCTAACGTTGTT